TGAAATGTATCAGGCCATCTAATACCTGGCTGCTGTCCAGGTGGTGGCATAGATGCATTTTAAATGTGTACACTGTAATTATGATGATCATAGTAATACTGGTTCCATGTAGGTGGAATATATGCTGAAGTAGGACCAGGCTTTCTACTGTGGTAGACAGTAGGAACACACTTTTGTCACAGAGCCTTAAATTTTAACTTGCAGGAAATGCAGCGTGGGCAATGGCCACCTCCAAACCCGATATTCTCCTGATTCTTCTGCAGAAGCTGATGGAAGAAGGAAATACACTCTATAAAGTAGGTGGATTTTTCTTTTTTTCTGGCAGCAGAACATTGGACTTCTGCCTGAAGATAGACTGAATGCCTTTATGCCTCCTTTTCAGTTATATAATCTAACATATTACTAATCTGTTTAAAACAGAGTAGTAATATATCAGATTATATGATTTTTTTTCTGGTAGTAGTAGTAGTGCAAATATTTTCCTTGTCAAATACCTTTAAACATTTGAGTTCAGAAAGGGATACAAACTCTGATTATCATGCAGGCTCTCCCTATGCTTTTTTGAAGAGTAGTTCACACTGTGTATATTTATTAAAAAATCTCTGTGTTTTCTACTCGAAGGGCATCTCTTGGTAGATGTCAAATATAAATATGCTTTTTGAACAGTATTGCAATATTGGACATTTGTGAAAAACCTCTTGTTCCCTAAAATTTGCAGAAAGGCAAGATGAGGGAAGCAGCACAGCGCTATCAGTATGCATTGAGGAAATTCCCAAGGGAAGGGTTTGGTGAGGAAATGAAAGCCTTCACTGAGCTGAGAGTTTCATTATACCTGAACTTGTCACGATGTCGCCGCAAAACAAATGTAAGCTCTTGCTGTTAGTCTGCTGCCTCTCTAGCATTGGGAATCTGAGACTTATATCCTACTGCATTGCTTTGTTGTATGTGGACTTCTATCTGTACTATTTTAGAATCCTTTTCACTATATCTTGATCTTGGGCTTTTTCATGTCAATAAATGGGTGGCTTATAAGATGAGGGCATGTTGTCATGGGGGTCTTACATCATGCAGTTATTGTGGAATAATGGACTGCTGGATCTTTGTAGTACTTTTAAAAGACTGAATGCAAAACACTGCTACCTTTGTTATCAGCCAGCAGAGCCAGGTGCCGTGGCTGTGCCCACGTGAGCAAATACCTGCTCCTGCAGCCTGGGGCTGGCTGTGCTCCTGGAGCCGTGACCTGCAGCTGGCAGCTTGCTGTGGCTGGCGCTGTGTAAGGGTGTGTTTGATTCCTTTGTTAGGATTTTGGAATGGCTGAAGAGTTTGCTACCAAAGCCTTGGACCTGAAGCCTAAGTGTTACGAAGCCTATTATGCCAGAGCGAGAGCCAAGAGGAACAGCAGGTACTGCAGAGATTTTTTTTTTCACTTGCCATTTTTAACAACTTGTTCTTTTCTGCTAGTTGCATTTCAAATTTGCAAAGAAAAAATTATTTTTTAGTGCACTTTACATCTGTACTGGGACTCTCTTATCAGATAAAGCCAACCACATCCAAAGAGTGATACTGAATACTCTGTAATACTTATGAGACAGTCCAGAAAGTAACAAATTCATATGAAGAGGGATTATTTTAAATGTAACAGTGAATAGGTCTGCTGCTCCACATGACTCAGCAGAATGTGACCAGCAGTGTGCCACCCAATTCCAGCACTTTATTATTTATTGCCAAGCTTACAGTTTATTACTGGCTGCTTTGATAGGAAATAATATGATGAATCATCAGCAGTTGAAGACAAAAATAAGGGGAGAGAGGAGGAACTATCTCTTTAGGTGGAAAGAATAACAAACTATAGTGGTGTAGCTGAAGTACAGGAAGAGGTGCCTTTTTGATTCACCATATCTTTTCTAAACATCAATAAACGGTCATGAAGCAGAGTTCAGCAGGTTCCCTTCTCTAGAGGTAACTGTGGAAGAGCTTGTGAGACAAATTGTCAGTTCCTGAGTTCCAGAGAGTTCTTCTGCCTGCCTGCATGGGGTATCAGGATACTTTAGGGAAACATTCAGGGTTGGGTCTGTGCTTCCACCTTAGTTAAGAAGTTCCTGAGGTGGAGATTTTCCAGTTGTAATTTGTCACCATTTGCAGCAGAAAGCAACAAATCAGGACATTTGGCAAAAAGGGTGGAGGTGGATTAGTAGTAGGCAGTGCTGGGACACAGATTTGCCCCAGTTTTCATTATTTACGTACTTGTTCCTAAACAGAAAACTACTTGCTGCTCTCTCTGACCTGCGGGAAGCCACTCAGATATGCCCCAGCAATCAGGAGATAAAACGTCTCTTGGCTCGGGTGGAAGAGGAGTGCAAGCAGTTCCAGAGAACACAGCACCAGAAGCATCAGTGTCCACAGCTGCTTGAACACACCAGCAATTCAGATAATGAGGAGGAAGGAAGTGTATCAGGTGATAACTTCAATCTTCAAGGCAGGGAAGATGAGCTGCCACACCCCAGTGGATCTGCCTCTCCTCCACAAAGGCTGCAGTGTTCCTCTGCTGCTTCATTATTTAGCAGGACCCTTCAAGAAGGTGTTCAGAAAGCTCAGTGTGTGTCTCCTCAAAGCAGAACAAGCAACAAGTACCTGAGAGAGCCAGGTTTGATTATGCAGCCAACAAAGCAGGCACAGATTGTAAAAACAAATCAGCATCTGAGCTCCATCCAGCCTGGATCTAAACCAGGAAGCAGTCAATGTAGCACCAAGCCACAATCACCTTTGCAGCATCTTTCCCACAGTCCCATGCCCATCCGGCGCTGTGGAAGTCAACAGGTGGATGAGACAAACCTATTTTCATCTGGAAGCATTTCCACAGATCCCACTGCTGAACTGCACAATGAGAAGTTTGTGCCCAGCCAGCGTTCACATCCACAGCATCCTGAGACTCTCTCTTCTCGTTCTTTTGCTTGTAAATCTAAACCTGGTGACACATCAACAGCCTCTGCTCCAGTGAATTTCAGTGACGCGAGGCAGCAAAGCCCTGTACCCAGTGGTGGCTCTTCTGGCTCTCCATCCAGTAGTGTGATTCTTGCCAGCTCATCAAGCAGCTTCACTTCAGCCAGCAGTTTGTCAGGCAGTGTTAAGGGGCTGGGCCCAGATGTTCGACTCAAGGAGACCAACATCAGTCAAGCTCAGGGCACTGAGCACCGACCTCGCAATACCCCGTTCATGGGAATCATGGACAAGACTGCAAGGTTTCAGCAGCAAAACACACAATCTAGTCGCACTTGGCACTCTCAGGCAGCAGAGGGATTGTCCACAAACATTGCTTCTGCAGGCATTCAGCCCTCCAACCTGGAGCAGTTCTCAGTTAAACACTACTCAGCGAAGGGATCCTCTGCAGGTGCTGCCCCTGGAGATGGCAGCCAGAGCAGCATGCAAGCAAAAGACCGTGAGGAGCTCACGTGCCAAACCCCTTCCCACTGTACAGAGAGCAGATCACCCAGCCAAGGTTCTCATTTATACCCCGATGCTGCAGCCAAACTGCCACCCCACAGCACTCAGGACGGCCACCTCAGTCACGGCACCACGGCAAAACCAAAGCGCTCGTTCATTGAATCCAATGTATAAATACTGTTCTGTACATTGACAGGGTAGACTTGGCTCACAGCATCACAGGGTCTGACTGCTCTGCCAAACACTGCCTGCCTGGGCATGGCTGGGTCCCAGGGAGCAGTCTTTAATGGGATACAACCACTTCCAACTGTTACTGCCATCACAGGGCAGTGACAGTAACTGGAATAACAAATTAGTGTAGAAAGACTTAATTAAGTTGGCCTAGGAGCTCGAGCAGAGAAATCCTTTCTCTCACATGTTACCATTAAATAAGCCTTTCCTTTCACATATGGCTTCAGTCCTGGCTTTTGGTTCTCTTGCATCTCACACATAGTACTCGTGCCTCTCAAATGCTTACGTGCTGGTGTCTCACAGCAGCGCTAAGGGCGGTAATCTGCTGCAGAATACTCACATCTGTACATGCATGCATTTTTTTCAAATCAAATTATTTTATCACTTTTCTAGTGGGATCTAATTTGGGTTGCATGATGTACATTTAGGAAGCATAAATAATTTGTGTATGAGTAAACTATAAGCAGCCATGCTTTGATGTGTAAATAAAACTATTTTTAGTAAATAGAAGAAATTAAATAAAATGAGTGACATTTGCATGTGTAGTGGGAGGCTTTGACCATATTGGTTATTGCACTGAAGAACACACTATTATGGCCTATTAACAATAATCGCACTTTATATAGGGTATCTAATCACCTTTCGGTGCTATCTTAAAGCAAAATGATTTATTGTTTATTTGTGAAAAGGTACAACAACTAAATGCTTAGTAAATGTTTTTATGGGAAACCCAAGAAAGGGATGGAGTGAATGTGAAAGTTTGAGGAACAGCGTATGTGCAGTTGCAGGACAGGATGAAGTTGAGACGTTGGTTTTTTTAAGGAAATGAGGATTCTTATTGGCAAGGACATACTGGAACTGAAGTGCTGCAATGACATTCCTATGAGTGCAATTCAATTGGAGTGCTCAGCTTTATATTCTTCCCATCATGCTTGATTACAGTGTTCTGTAAACAGCTGTACCCAGCTCTACACATCCTTTTGCAGTTTTGTATCATTACACTTTAGCTTATTTATTGTTTACTGTTTCTTTGATATTTTGTACAAGTCCCATATTAGTCTTGTCCTGTAGTTCTATTTTTGCACAGCTACTGTACTCTTTCCATACAAAATAAAGATTATTAATATACCTGTGGGATGAGATGCAGTCCCTGATGGTTACAGGAGAAACTCTCTCCTAGCTTTTCCAACTACGTGTCCAGTAATGGGGAACAGAGAAAGACACATTTTGGTTTGTTAGAGTAGAAAAAGAAATACAGATCCTGTACTTTGCGATTTCTTACCTTCTGAAAGACTGGCTTGGCAAGATGAACACTCAAAACTCATAAATGTAGTAACAAGTATAAGAAAATTTTATTTGAAAAACTGAGTTTGAGTACTTGATTCTTAAACAGAAATACCACAAAGTAGAACTACCAGGAACTTAAAAGTTGTTCTGGGAGTTTGCACCAGTGAAGGTCGAACCAGCCACAGATAGAAGAGAAAGACAAGTTTTGCTTTCCATTTGTTTCTGATACAATTAATTCCTCCAGCTGCATAAAATTTCAGTTAATTTTAACAAACAATTTCAAGATTAAGTGGTTTAACTATTTCTGTTGAGTCTCTAGCCAGCGACTAATGGCCATTTTTAGTGTTCTATTTGGTATGAGAGTGAGCGAGTGCAGAGGAAGATTTGTCATGGGACTCGATCGTCTGTTGCTGATCCAGTTTTCCATTGCTTCCCTTTCATAGGAATAGCCGTCTGCAAAGAAACCATCAACACAAGCTCATATTACAGAGGCTTGGGCACTGAGACACTGTGTAGTTTAAATGTAAAAGGGAAGGAAATTAACACATGCAAACATGAAAATTGAGATCTAGAATAAGTACACTGTATGTTAAATCTTTACTGTGGATATAAACAGTTCTGTCTAGTTTCATATATCTATCTCTGCCTGCAAAGCACCAAAATATATTATGCACAAGTTAAATATGATTTTCTTTTCAGTTTGAACGATCCATAATGTGAAATAAAAGCTCATTACCATCAATTGCCTAACACAGTTAAAGCTTTGCTGAACAGGGGCCTTGTCCACCTGGCTGCCCCAGCCCTGAGCTGTGCCTGGGCAGAGCCCTCACCACCTGCCCAGGTTCAGGGCTTTGGCTCTTACAGTTTGTATCTGAACCATCTGATCCTTAAAGAGCAAAAATTAGGCCCCAGGAACACCTGTGGTACAATACAAGCCTGGGCCCTAGGCCCCTCCTCTTGTCTCCTTACTCCTTATTGAATAAAGCAGCTATCCCTCCAGTAGTTAGCAAATGTCTTCATATTTTGGCCATTTCACTTCTCAGAAAACTGCCTAATACCTCAGAACTGGATGAAGTTAGTTACTGTTTACAGAGCAACAAAAAAAAAAAAAAATACTGATCTGATGTTGTTTGTGTGCTCACCCTTCCCCTCTTCCCCCAAGAATAGAACTACAAAACACTAGTTCTTTATAAAATGTTTTAACTACATAACATCTTATGCTGCTGACATATCACAGTTCCAATGGCTGCTGCATTTATAGGAGTGTGCTAAGCACAGAAATGAGCCTGGAGTTTTTGGTTGTTTTTGTTTGGTTTTTTTTCTGTTTAGTTTTTTTGGTTTTGTTGTTGTTTTTTGTTTGGGTTTTTTGGTTTGTTTTTTGGGGGGGGCTGGTTTGTTTGTTTCCTTTTTGCCCCAATGAATGCACACTTCCATTTTGCATTTACTGAGCCAACACTGTAATTAGGCTTGTAATTATATTTACAAAGGCACATAAAGGGAGGCACATTAAGAAAAGGAGGGAGTTGCTTGATACAGTATTTTTCTCCATATCAGACCTGTAATTCAGCAAATCAAACATTTATCACAATTCTGGTTTATTGCAACAGCTATTTAGAATAGTTTATCTTTCTAGGTCTGCTGTTAAATAGATGTGAGAATACAAAAATGGGCCTATCTTTACCCTCAAGTAATTAGTTTTAGTCCGTGTCACGTAGAGACATACCTGTGGCAATGACAGGATCTTTCATAAGCTCTCTTGTTATAGGACATAGGAACTCATCAGGAACAGAAACCGAGGTCATTGTCATCCTCAGTTCTTCAATTTTCTGGAGAACTTTACTGCGCAGGCCCAGAGACTCTGAAAAATTATTTGTACATGAAGTGGACAGCACAGCAGGTGAGGCAGAGAGGTCAGGTCTCGGAATAGTCAGCATCTCTGTTAAGGAGACAGAGCTCCATCTCAGCACCCCTAAACCAAAAGCTTGCAGCCAGCCCTGGCTCCCACTGCAGTCAGCTCTGTCACAGGTGCTGTCTCCTGCTGTGCAACAGGAACTTTGGGTAGCAATGAAAACGAGCAGTAAAACAGCGGAGGTGCAGCAGAGCCATGGCAGAGCAGTGGCCTGGGGGCCGTGCAATTGACCCGACAGAGCGTGAGCACTTGTGCAGACTGATAGGAAAAACTATAGAGTACCCTATGTACCAAAGTGAGAAACGTGAATTATAGAGAAAAGCTGAAATTCCTTTTCCACAGCTTAATAATACAAGATCAAACAAAGAAAACTGAAACAAAATCAGGTAAGACCATTTAACAGTATCATTAGTGGAAGTGCATTGTATGTCTCCAGGTATAAGCAAACACACACACAAAAAAGGAATACTGTGGACAATGTAAAATAAGGGGGTTTTTAACAACCCTGGAAATGAAATAAAAAAGGCATTTCAGGAGGGAAAAAATCCATGTATGGAACTCTTAACTTGCTTTCATTCCAACATTTCAAAGTACTCTAGAGATTAAAAACTATTTGGATTTCAATACTCTTACCAATTTTTAATTCATTAGCAAGACTTTCCTTAGTAAGATTCAGTAGTTCCTTGCCATCAATATTATTCATTTTGAAAAGTCCAACAAAGTCTGCTAAATCCTGTGCACACAGCCAGGCTGAAACATCATCCTCTGACCAGTCCTCAACAGCCACCTTTGATTCATTTTCTACAGTACCTCCTTTGAAAATGAAAAAGAGTTAAAAAACAAAACAAACCCAAATTAAAAAAACAAACAACACTATCCTCCCTCCCACACAAAAAAAAAAAACCTCACCACAATCCCCCAAAAGCAAACAACAATGAAATTCCCAGCTCAAAGAAACAATGTCATTAATAGATCCTGGTTTTAAGTGTTCTCAGTACTATACATTCTTCAACTAAGAAAATAAATGCTTCTTAGAGATTTTTTTGTGAGGGAGGGCAGTAATTTGGGTTTACCTTTTACCTGTCAATTTTCAAAGTTTAGAGGAATTTAATCTCTTAGATGCCTACACTTCTGTCAAATTTGAATTTAACAAACAACCAGAAAAGTGCTAACAGACACTGGAATCACCTTGCACATCCTTAGAAGGCACACCAAAATCCAAACTTACTGTTGTGCTTTGAAAAAAGACAAAATGTACCTTTGTTCCACACACTTGAGGTACTGGTGTAATTTGTACCATTAGTTATTCTATAATAACAGCACTAATGTCATGTGTACAATTAGTTTTTCACCTATAACAACTGGTAAGGTGCATTTCTAATTGACAATTACACTTGCAATTAGCATATTTGCAACTCATCACAAATTACAGGTGTCCAAGAAGTGCTTCAACACTGGCACTAACATTCACCTCTTAAATGCCAAAAAATAAGCAATTGCAAATATCAGAAAAACAGATAGACCAAATTAATTAAACTAAGATACGTCTAGTATTTTTTTATTTACAAAACAACAAAAAGAGAATACCTCTTCTGGGCATTACTCAGGTTATTTAGAAGATAAAAAGCATGCACACAATCCTGATGTTAAACATTAAGTGCAGGCAAGAATGAGGGATTTTTGCATCTTCAGAAGGTGTTTTGAATTTAAAAGGACAGACTTCAAATACCTCACACACTGACCTGGACAGGGTTGTTTAAGGTCAAGCTGCCATATGTGCACAGTTTTATCCATTGAGCCTGTGGCAAGTAAAGGACTATGTGGTGCAAAAGCACAAGTTGTAACGTATCTACAAATAAAAAAAAGTCTGAGAATTCATTAGAAAAGGATTTCTTTTATTTATGAAACAGAATAATCATGCTGGTTTCTTACCTTGTATGCTGAGACAAAGTATGAAGGGTATTGCCAGTACTCTGTAAAACAGTTTTTGTGATTTTAAATCATAAAGAATAAAAAAAGTGTTTCTTCACTTGTTTGCTTCCTTTCCAAAGAGGGAATATAGCTTCTTGAAAGGTGACAGAAGGTACCTTCAGAGAAGTTACACAACTTCGACAAAGCTGATCAGCAGCAGAATCAGAAATGCAACT